AGAAATGGATTCAGGAAAACTGAGGCCGCTTTCAAGTGTTACTACCAAATGCCGACAAGTTCTTTCTGAGTTCATCTTCATGCTTTTATCACCTTCAGAGATCACCTCTTCTAGAAATTCACCCTTCGTCAAAAAAAGAGCAAAGTCATGTACCAGATCATGCATCCTACAGTCAGCATATTGACCATATAAAGGATTAAAATCTTCAATTTGGATGAAAGAGCGAGCCTCTAAGCACTTTAAGTAATCAAGGCCTTTCAGTTCCCATAATGAATCATCACCATCATTAGAGCCTAAGTAACCTTGTGCCTTCCATTTTGCTATCAAATGACAAGTAAAATAAGCAGTGTCTTTAGTAAAGTGAGCACAAAACTTAAAGCATTGTTTTACTGGGGATGGTAGATCATAATAACTCAACAATAGAGGAACAAAAACATCTTTATGCACCACATCCATCCTCCATAACTCACTATTCAAGACATCTTCCCATTCTTTTCTAGTAGTCTTAAACTGTAAATGACCTCCCAGAGTCTTTGCAACAAGTGGCAGACCTTTGCATTTCTCTGCAATTCTCAACCCAATTGGCGTTATATCTTCACAACTCTTTTGGTCCCTTTCTCTTAGTGCTATTTTCTTAAGAATGGACCAGCATAAGTCTTGGCTCAAAGTTTCTAAATGAATGGTCTGAGAACTCCCCATGACTCTTGAAACAGTATCCTTTCGAGTAGTCACCAAAATTCTACTTCCTGCAGCACCACATTTGAAAGTGACATTCAATCCTCCAAAGTCTTCATCATTTTCTGTCCATACATCATCTAGGACAAGAAGGTATTTCTTTTCTTCTATGGACTTGCAAATTCTTTCTAAAAGTGCATTCAATGGAACTGACTCCGTTTGGAGGCCTGCTGCTTTATCTAGGCCTTCAAGTCCTGCAATGATCGTTTTTGCCACTTTACTCTCATCAAAGATGTCTGAAACACATGCCCAGATTCTGCTAGTGAAATGTTGTTTAACTTCTTCATCATTGTAGATCAGTTTGGCAAGAGCAGTCTTACCAATACCTCCCATCCCTACTATAGAGATGGTTTGACAGGTCTCTCCTTCGTTGCTAGTCTCACACAGCAAATGATCTATTATTTCTTTCTTTACCTCATCCCTACCAACGATGTTTGACCCATCACCAAAACTCGTGCTTTCTTTTCGTTTTGGCAGTCTACTAGGTGTATCTGTTAACTGATACCTTACTCTATCTTTAGCAATCTCATCTAACCTCTCATTAATTTCTTTTATGTTGCGAGCAATGCCATGGTACCTATAAACCCGACGAAAAGAAAAGCATCGGAGGAAAAGGCATACCTTCCTTTGAAGAAAAGAAGCATTTTCAACTCCATCAGTTGGCCGATACAGAAGTACGGTTCTCCACTCATCTAGAGCATCCTCCATGTCAAGAGACTCTTCTTGCAGCCGATCTAACCATAACTGGACAATTTTGTCTGATATTTGCTTTTGCTCAGCATCTTCAAGTAAAGCTTTGATGGATGTGAGATTGAATTTGAGCTTTCTCAGATCTTCCTTAACACCCTTCAGAAGTCTCACTTCCTCTAGTGCTCCTTCACAGATGATTGTTGTTATTTGCTCTAAGAGAGCGGAAACAAGTGCTTCTGCCATTTTTTTGCAGACAAGTTTGAGCAAATGAGATTGAAAAAGAAATGGCTATCGATGATGGGCCTTGCAATTGCTATTGAAGATGGGAATTTTCCGGGGTTGGTGGGACTTGTAGACTGCTCACCTAGTCAATTCCACAGGGGTTCACGTGGCGCAGGCCTGTGCGGTGGATTCAGGGACGGAGCCCATGAAGGATAAGGGTGGGCAGCCGCCCCCCTAAGCTTTTGAAAAACATTTAATATGGTACACTAACTTTTATTTGTTAAAAATTTTGTTTTTATATTTATAGTATGAGTTTTAAGAATCATTTCAAATGTAGAGAAAATATTTAGAATTTAAATAAATTTTTTTTAAAAATAAGGATATAATTCAAGTAAAATGAATTTATGTCAATTAATTAATTAAGAATTAAGATTTGTAAACACTTTTTCATCTGTTAAGTTCAAAAAACTTTAATTATCTATTTAAACAGCTTTAAATTTATAGTTTTCTTTAGTATTCTTTTATTTTCTTTCTTGTTATTTTATGTAATAATTAAAAATTTTTACCTTTCAGTGCTAAGGTGCATTTTTTCCTTTTATGATTGAATTTATAATCTTTTTTTTTTTGTTAAATCAATTTAGGTTAGAGTTTATTTTCTAAAAGAAATATTTTAGTATTTTTTTTATAATATTAGTGTTTATCAATATAACCTTTAAAAATTTAAGAGGAAAACAGTCTAAAATTGCATTGTTTAAATAAAATCAAAATACTCTCATTTCTACTTTAAAAATGTATTATTTTTGCATTTTTCAATGCAAGTTTATTAAAACAATTTAATTTTATAATGTTTTTCCTCACAATTTATTAAAAATTCAGCTAACAAACATATTTCTCTCTCTCATTTTTTTTTATATTCATTCTTCAATTGATCACTACATAATTTATTACTATAATGTTTTTGTTTTTATTATAATTAAAAAATACATTTATTTCTAATTTTCACTAAAAATATATCAATAAAAAAAACAAAAAATAATTATTTTATAAGGCAGAAAATTTTTTAAAAATAATTTAATGTCATAAAAAATGCTCTTAAAGACTAAAATCTTCAACAATAAAATTCGCCCCCACTAACTGAATTTCTTGGCTCTGTCCCTGCGGGGATTTCACTCTACTTTAGCGTTAAGTAGACTTGTACTCCTGGGTCAACACCACGGAAAACGAATCCTATGCATGGGAAAATCCTAGCAGTGTGTCTATCACACTAAGATGGTAATTTACTTCGAAATCGGCAGAATTTTACAGAAATTTACATTGTGGTTATAGAAATTTAGAGAATATTTTGCTTTATAGGTGAAAATGAAAATAATTTTTTTAAAACTTTTACAGCAAATTTTCTTCACTTCATATGTCTCTTACATAAATCTGTATATAATAAAAAATATAAATTTATTTATATATTT